GCCAGGTTTTTGCACGCATTTCCTCCCCCACACACACCTTCCAGCCCTTATAAAAACAACACACACAGCCACATTCCACACAAAACTGCACAACCAGGGCCTTGTCAGAGATGATGAAAAACAGACTGAAAAAATGACTGGACTAAGGAGAGAGAAAAGGGGAAAAAAGGGGGAGAATGGGCCCAGCTGCAAAATCAAATCACCTGTTTTCCTTTTATAGGAATATGCACCTCCTCCCCTCTTCCAGGCACCCCAAGTCTGAAGGCAAAAGAGAGAGTGCCCTTAGAAAAGGACCCCCTCCCACCTTTCTTGGCACCCCACCCAAGGCAAAAGTCTGGGGGGCAGAAAAGAGTCCCCCTTTCCCCTTTCTTGGCATATCCCCCAAAGGAAAGTCAGGAGAGAAGGAATTTTACAAGGGAGCCCCCTCCCACCTTAATGGGATCCCCTGAAGGGGCATCTCCCCCTAAAGACAAAACTGCGGAGGACACAAGGGAGCCCCATAAAGGGCCGGCTCCCTTTCTTGGCATTCCCCCCCCCCAAGGTAAAAATCTGAAAGGTAGAAGAACCCCGCTTTCTTGGGATCTCCCCAAAGTAAAGTCTGGGGGATTAGAAGAGAGATTTCCCTTATTGGGGGGGGGTGTCCCCATCTTTCAAGGCAAAATGCCGAGGGAGGGGGCAGAAGAGAGAGTTCCCCCAAAGGCAGCTCCCCCACCTTTCTTGGGACCCGTTGAATGAAGAAGTCGGGACTGGGAGGGGGGAGGCAAAACAGAGACACCCCCCCTCCAGAAGTAGGGCGCCTCCTCCCACCTTTCTTGGTATTCTCCCCCAAGTAAAAAGTCTGGGGGGAATCAATAAATAAAGAGCCCCCGCCTCAAAAAGAGCACCTTCTTCCACCATATAAGGAAACAGTCTGGAAGGGGTAGAAGAGACCCCCCCCCCAAAAAAGCGCCCCTCCTCATCTTTTTAGGCCTCTCCCCTTAAAGGGGGGGAGAAAAACCACATGGAGGCTGAAGACTCCCCCCTCCCCGAAAGGCGCGCCCTTTTTTCCCCAGCATCCCCCTCCATCCACCCCCCCCGACCCCTTTTTTCGACTCACCTCCGAAGAAAAGAGAGCGAGCTGCGTTTGGGCGCCCATTTCCTTCCCACTCCCCGCGCATGCGCACAACGCCCTCTTCGCGTTCTCTCTCCCCCCCCCCCAGCCGCCGCCAACGGCCTCCCGCCAACCGCCGTCTTTCGCCCACCCGCCCCGCGCGTGCGCCTCAGGGGCCCCCTCCCTTCTTTCCTCGCGGCCGTGTGGGGGGGGGGGTTATCCGGAAGGCCTTTCCCGCCCTTTTGGGGGGGGCGGGTGGAGTTGGGGGGGGGGGTGAGGAAAAGAAATGAGGAGAGGCAGGCCTCGCCGTTCCCCGCGAGGTGGGCGAGCCCGGCCGCGGCCTTCCTTATTCCTCGCTTTCGCCGGGCAACCCACCTTCTCGGGGCGTCTCGTTTGCTTGCTTTGCCTTCCCTTCCCTTCTTTCTCCGCTGGCGGTTGTCGCTGTTACTGAGGGGGAAGCGGGCGGGCGGGCGGGCTGCGAGGGAAGATGGCGGAAGCGCGCTAGTTCAAATCGCCCTGAAAGAACCACCACCAGCAGCAGCGGAGGACCGGGAGCGAGCACGCCGGTCACGTTAGTCGCGCGTGGAATTAACCAATCAGAGGGAGGGGCTTAGCGTCACGCCTGCGCAGTGGGAATGCCTCAGAAACTTGGCCCAGGCTCACTTTTTTTCCTTTTGCTCTCTCGCTGCGCAGACCCGACCCGCTTTTCTCGACTGAGAGAGTGAATGCGCGCGCCTTCTTCGATAACTCCGCCCACCCGTGTTGGGCTGCGCCTGCGCGGTGGCGCGCGGGCGTTCTGGCGCGAAAAGGGAACGTTTCCCCCCCCCCCCCCCCCCCCCCCCCCCCCTCTTTTAGATTTAAAATGCTGCCCAAAAGGAGGAAAAAAAACCTAAAAAAATATTTTATTAAAAAAAACCAGCAATGCAAAGGGCGATGCAAAAAGCTTTGGGCATCAGCATGGTGCTTCTTTCTTGCCACCTTGTCTGATTGCAAAATGAGGCTTAGCTTGCCTTGGGATGGAAGATGGGCTATGTAGTCCAGCATTGCAAAGTTGGGAAACAGATGGACTTGGGGGAGGGGCTGCTTTTTTCCCATTCGTGGGGTCTTTTCCCCATTCATAGGGCCTGGGAACCAATCCCAGGTGGGTGTCTGAAAACAACACCTTTTTTTAAAATAATTTTATTTGTAATTTTTTTCTTTAACATCCATAAGTGCTTAGTGGACAGTCAATATATTTTGCATACAATTCCATAGGGATATTACCATTTAGATATACATAATACTTTTTCAGCTGCTAACATTTGTGTATACATAGTAATCATAGCCTGTGCTATTATAATTCACTATACATAATATTTCCCCAATTTCTACTTTCTACTTCTTTTTTTCTAACACTTATTAGAATAACCGCCATGTTAAAAAGTATTCTTATGTCAGGACAAGAAGCAGTGGGTGGAAACTAATAAAGGAGAGAAGCAACTTAGAACTAAGGAGAAGTGAGAACAATTAACCAGTGGAAAAACTTGCCTCCAGAACTCCATCACTGGAAGTTTTTAAGAAAAGATTGGACAACCATTGGCCTGAAATAATAGAAGGTTTCCTGCCTAAACGGGGTTGGACTAGAAGACCTCCAAGGTCCCTTCCATTTCTGTTATTTTATTCAATTCTATCCATCATCTCTTGCCCTGGGGGAACTGAGGATGGGTACTCTAGAGATCCAACAGCAAGAGACAGATGCTGTGGCAAGGGAAATATTTAGATTAAATAAAAATGACAAAAGGAATTACAAGATACCAGAGGGAAAGCAGGACAGATTCACCAAAAAGCTAATAAGAGTTGAAATTCTAAAAAAGGCAAAACTCTCAATCTGTTGGCACCCAAGATCATAATTTATTCTCAACAATTAAAATGTTTCTTTCTGGGAATGCCTCAGTTGGCCTCTAGAGGTCAGAAAGGAAGTTTGCATTTTATTTCATCCCATCATTTCTGTACATTGTCCTGAAAGCCTTCGAATCATTTATGTTTCTCTTCTAACTTTGTCCTCTTAGGATCAGTCCATTAAAATGTAAATATTTTCTGCTGTGGCAAGGCACCAATCCTGTTACAGGTAGTCCTCGACTTAACAACAGATCATTTAGAGACCAAAGTTACAACGGCACTGAAAATAAATGACTTATGACCACTTTTCACAGTTACAACCATTGCAGCATCCCTATAATCATCATCATCTTTTAATGACCCCATAATCCATTGTGGAGTGGAGTCTGGGCAATTGAATGGAGCTAGAAGAAATTTTAATGGCCGGATGCCCTTCCTGTCACCAATGAGGAGTTTTGTTCAGCAGATAAATTCTCAGTTTGCCCAGAGAGAGAAATGTCCACCCTACCTAGGATCGCACTCACAGCCTCCTGATTGTGAGGCGAGAGCTCCACTTCTAGGCCACTGCCACCACTCTGCAGCATCCCTGTAATAATGGGATCAAAATTCAGACACTTGGCAACTGATTCATTCTTATGACGGTTGCAGAATCCTGGGGTCACGTTGATCCCCTTTTGCGACCTTCTGACAAGCAAAGTCAGTGGAGCAGTCAGATCACTTAACAACAGTGCTCCTAACTTCACAACTGCAGTAATTCATTTAACAACTGTGGCAAGAAAGGTCGTAAAATGGGGCAAAACTCACTTAACAACTGTCTCACTTAACAATGGAAATTTTGGGCTTCATTGTCGTATGTCGAGAACTACCTTTACTTGATTTTTTTTTCTTTTGGCAATAAAGATGCAGTTTCAAAAAGAGCAACTTTCATGGGTAGCCTTATTTTTTCCCTCACTGCTTCTGATTTCTTTACTAGAAATGAGGAAAGAAACATTCATTGAAAGCATCTGTTTGGCTTTGCAAAATGAACAAGTCAACTCCAATCTATGTTGAATAAAGAGATAGAAAAGGAAGTTTAAAAAAATGCAAAGAGTGGAGAAGGGGTGAAAAAAACCCACACACCTAAGTCATAACATGAATATTTTTATTTATTCAGTTTTTATGCCACCTATCTCACTGATAACAGCCACTCTGGTTGTCTTACAACATGATAAAAAAATTAAAAGCCTCCTACAAGATGATTAAAATTAGAGGAATTAAAATAGAAAAGCTAAAAAATAATAAAATGAGCATTCCATGTTTTTTAAATTTGAAATGTTGAATTTTTTAAAAAGCATCTCTAATATTCTACTAAGGATTTTAATGTAGTCTCTTAGCCACACCCTCTTGGCCTGGACTAAATAATAAATTTGCATAGCTCCGCCTTTCTAGTGTAGTCGGCCACGCCCCATCCGTTGGTCTCTGTACATCTCTATAGCATTTCACAATTGATATGAGCTTCGCCTGGATAGAACACATATTTGCATAGCTCCGCCCTTTCTTTTTTTTAAATGCCACAGCCCCACCCTTGGTCCCTGTTGTAATATTCTGCATAGGATCTTCATTCTCCCTCCCCCCTCCCGCTTAACTTGGACCAGACGTCAAATTTGCATAGCTCCGCCCTTCCTTTGTAAGTGGCCCCACCCCTTCCCTTTGGTCCCTCAGTGATATTCCACCAAGCACTAGCTCTGTTGCCCCTCCCTCTTCGCTTGGACACAGACTCCAAATTTGCATAGCTCCGCCCTTCCTTTGTAAAGCGGCCTCACCCCTCCCTCGGTCCCTCTGCCCGCTGGGTTCTTCGGCTTTCTAATGGGAGGAGACGCCTGCGCCTGCGCACTGGGCGGCGGCCGGGCAGTGGTTGCCCTGGCATCGGCGAGCGGGGAGGCGGCGGCCGCGCTGTGCCGCCGCTAGAGCCTCCCGGAGCCGGGAGCCGCCTGCGGTGGGCAAGGAGCAGCAGAAACGCCCGGGGAGAACCGGCTGGAGAAGCCCCGCCAGGATGAGGGACCGTCTGGCCGAGCTGACATCGGTGAGAGGCTGAGGAGGAGGAGGAGGAGGAGGAGGAGGAGGCGGAGGGAGGGTGACCCCTGGGCAGAAACAGCCCCCACGGGGGGGGGAGGCCAATTAAAGGATGCGCGACAGCATCCCTGCCTCCTTCTGCAACCAGGCGCCCGTTGCAAAGGAGATGGGCTCCGTCTCCCGGAGGATGGAGAAGACAGGACGATGGAGGTGCTAGTCGCACGCCTTTAGAAGAAGAGCCGCTTTCTACAACCCCATCGCCTTTATTTTATTTATAAATTAAATTTATATGCCGCCCATCCCGATCCCTAGGTGGCATGACGTTATCTAGCCCAGGTGTGTTTTTGTGCCAGTGAAGCTTTCTGAATTTTTTTAAAATTTATCTCCCAAAGGCGTTCGTCGCCCTCAGCTCAGAGCAGCCTTTCGTTAAAATCAAATCAAATCAAATAATAATAACTTAAAAAAAAAAAAAACAGCTGGGCAAAGCAAACACCCCCCATTTCAAGGTTGAGGAATTTTGCTAGAGGTGCCTTTTTTACCTGAGGGTTGATTTCGGCAATCACCTTCCCTCTTGTTAACCCTTTTCCTAAAAAAAAAAAAAAAAATCTAAATTTTTGGCATGAAGTGTTTGCCTTTTTTTTTTTTTTTGAAGCATTGTTTTCTGCTCCTAAAAGAAGACATTCGTTTGCTTTATTTTAAAATGGAGCAAAGCAAAGTTGCCTAACAAAATGCAAGTGTTTTGTGTCACATTAAGAGGCAATCTGTCCTTTCAGCAAAAAATTTGTGTAAAGTGAACCAATGTTTTGAAAACATTGCATTTTATTTTGCTACTTGCTGGGAAGATACAAAGAATCAGGGTGAACAAACAACTCACAACAAAATAATGATACCTTTTCTGTCCTTTACAGCTGTGTTAGACTGATGGAAATTAGCAGTTTTAAAACCTTGGCTGTGATAGAGATTGGGCACCAATGGTGTGTATGTTATTTTAAAGAAAGCCTCTTGCTTCAGTGGTGTGCAGATATTGGTCTGTGCCTGTATTTAATATGTCCACATTGCCAATTAATATTTCAATTGCAGTTTCAAACTTCTTTACCGGCTTTGAGTTCTCAAAAGAAGGAGAGATTGTGCCTTTAAAAGAATATTTATTTGAAGCTGTTCCTGCATGTATATACAGGTAGTCCTTAACTTAAGACCACAATGGAGCCCAAGATTTCTGTTAAGCAAGACATTTAAGTGAGTTTTGCTCCATTTTACGACCTTTCCTGCCACAGTTGTTAAGTGAATCTCTGCCAAAAGGGGATCACATGACCCCTGGGATTTTGCAACCATCATAAATACGAGTCCGTTGCCAAGCATCTGAATTTTGATCACGTGACCATAGGGATGCTGCAACGGTCATAAGTGTGAAAAACAGTCATGTCGCTTTTTTTCAATGCCTTTGTAACTTTGAACCGTCACTAAACAAACTGTTGTAAGTCAAGCACTACGATACAGTACATTTGTGCATACATTTGAATCCCTGCATCTATATGTAATACAGCCTCGTTTCTGCATAATGTTTTGGGTTTTTTTGAGGATGTGAGAAATTTCCCTGCCTTCCTTTTCCCAAGCCGTAATGAGAAAAAGATGACACGCACACCCTGAAAACACTGGCAATTAGATTTTTTTCCCTTTATTGAAAAAAACTTAACGTGTCAAAATTTTATCAAAACATAAAATACAAAAATATAAAGAAAAATAAAAAAATAATGGTAAAATAGGGGAGGAAAAGGAAGAAGAGAGAGAAAAGTGTAGAATAAAGGGGGGCGGGGAGAAAAAAAAGGCATTGATTCCTTTTGGTGTAATAAAATAAGGTAAAAAGCATGAAACCTCAACTGTTTAACTTTTATGTAAGCAAAAGAATTCTCTGCAGAAATGTGGGCTATCCAGAAAGATTGTATTTTTAAAATTATTGTTTTAACTTTTTATGCGTGATAGGCGGCTTGTAGTTTTGTTGGAATGTTTACGTTGCTTTCATTTTGTGCTGTCCAAGGTAATTTTCAAGAATAACACCATCAGTATTCCTCTGACTTTTTTTTTTTTTTTTTTTGGTATCGTCACAACTGGATATTTGAGTGTGTCTGTGTGCTTGTGATATGTTTTTCCTTCCTCTCATTCTTATCTCTTCCTGAGGCAACAAAGAAGCTTTAAAAGGAAAAGGAAGGTGGTGGGAATAAAGAGCCTTTTGCTTAACCTCTTTCAACACAAGAAAAATGGGTTATTATATTTGATTCCACAATGTATTAACAATTAACACACCTTGAGCTGTATTCAATGTTCAGAATTTCACCGCGAGTTGGTCGCGCTTGCTTTAAAAAAAAACATATATGGGAAAAATAAGAAAACACTTTCTGTGTTTTTTTCCTTTGAAGACATTTCGTTTCTCATCCAAGAAGCTTCTCCAGTTCTGAC